CCCCCCCGCCCCAGGCCAGGGCTGCCTGCCACACACACTCCTCCTTCCTGGAAGATCTCTTCTCCTCCCCCCACCCAGGTCCCCCCTTCCCTCTCTCCCCCTTCCCCGTTAGTTTAATTAGCGCTAATGGAAAGTGGGCTCCATCACCGCTTGGCGAGCTGCCTGGGGGATGCCGGCCGGGCACAGGCTATAAATTACCTCTGGAAAGCCTCAGAGGAGGGGGCGGGTGGTACCTTGTGGTGCTGGATTTATCTGTACCTGCTCAGCAAAGCGGTGCCAAGGTGTGGAGACTGTGCCAAGCCAGTGCCACGCTGAGACCTGTCCCCTCCTCCCTTCCAAAGTCATGGGGGTGTCTCTGCCCCTCCTAATGCCCAGGAGAGGGGTGCTCAGCATCTCTGCCCCATGCAGGGGCAGCAGGCACAGGGATGGCAGGGGAACTGCAGGTAGACGGATGGACGGACGGGTAACTGCCCAGTACCTGAAGTTGGGGGCTGATGCCCACTCCAGCGCCAGGCAGGCCAGGTTGACAGTGGCATAAACCAGGAGGAAGAAGGTGGTCACGACCCCCGCGATGGTATTGAGTTTCCCGGAGAAGAGCACCAGCTGCACAGAGCACAGGGGAGCACAGGGTCAATGCACCCCCAGGATGGCACCCCTTGGGATGGCACCCCTGGCCTGTGGCTGAGCCATCCCTGCTGAGCCTGGGGCATGCCATGGTGACGTGCCAAGAAAGGGTACGGGCAGTGCCACACAAGCATGAATCCCTGCCCCTTGATGTGACTTATGGGCTCTGAGAGGAAAGGGCACAGCCGCAGCAGGACACCCAGGGCAGGGGGATGCGCCAGGGGCAGGGGGATGCGCCAGGCTCCGTGACACCCAGCCCAGGTGCCAACCCACCTTCACTCAGCAGGGCCGGTAAAGGAGCACCACCGGCAAACTCACCTGCACCACCAGCCAGGAGAGAAGCACTGCCATCACGGGGTTCCCGCTTGCAGACGTCTTCTTGGCCAGCGCCAGCGCCCGGCCTGCGGGCAGAGGGGGAGGTCAGGCTGGGGCACCCCGGCGGGCACCAACAGGCTCAGCCCCCAGCCAGGAGTCCTGTCCCCACCCTGGGTTCTGAGGTGGAGGCAAACGCCAGGGCACACCGGTGACCCAAGTGGGCACAGGGCAACCCCTAAAACATCACCCCTCACCAGCAAGGGGGTTCCCTGGTGCCAGGGCTGGTCTCTGGCTTTTCAACCTGCTGGGTGGGCTCTGGCGGGTGCCAGTGCACTCCAGGCACTCACCAAAGAGATCATCCCGGGCTAGGGCATAAAGGATGCGGGATGCCCCAATAAGGTTGCTCATGGCTGCAGAGAGGGTAGCAGCGTAGATTCCCACGGTGACCAGGGGTGGGAAGATACTGATGTCACGCAGGAAGCCGTAGTCTTTCTGCAGGAGGGTCCTGGAGAGGGACACGCACATGCTGGCACCCACCCGGGCTCAGGCCAGCATATCCTGGCACCAACGGCCCCGGCGAGGGGACCGGTGGCTGTACCTGTTGCAAGTGGCACACATGAGGAAAGCCAGCAGGTTGTAGACGAGGTAGGTGAAGAGCACGGCAGAGATGGTGCCCCGCGGGATGGAGTAGCTCGGGCGCTTCAGGTCCCCTGCAGGCAGGAGCAGGCAGCATTAGTGCCCGCAGGCACAGCACCCTCCTCCTCTCCTCCAGCCACAGCTCCCGCTCCCAGTGCCACCCAGCGCGGCACTCCCTGCCCATACCTGACATGTTGGAGCCTGCCATGATGCCGGTGCAGCCGTTGAACATCACTGCGAAGACGGAGCTGAAGCTCATCATCTGCCCGGTGGTGTAGTCCACCCCGTACCCACCTGCAGGACACATGGGCACAGCCCCATCATATAGCCTCTCCTCGATGTCCCCATACCCAAACCACAGGAGAAACCACCCCAAGGCACCGGCTTTGTGCCCACGAGCTCCTTCCACCCTCCAGCAAGCCCCTGCTGATGTGGAGGTGCCAGAGCCACCGGGGTCCGGCAGGCAGGGTG